TATACGCACCTTATTAATGCTATGAGTTGAGCTCCTCAGTAAGGTAAGCGTGGTACGGTAACCATGGTATTATCCGCCAAAAAACAAAGAAAAACGCGGATTCCGTACTCCAGGGCACACGCATTTGAATGAAATTTCAGCGAGGAAATCATGGGCAGATTACCTGAGCTTATGAAAAGCATCAGTGATCAGCTTATAACATGTGCTTTCAAACTTAGCTTATAAAGTGTGTTAATATTTGTTTGCCATAAACCAAATTTTGAGATTAGAGCGAATTTTTGTATGATCGTGCCTAAAGTAATTCGAGAGCTTCAAAAGCTGCATCAAATGCCAACAAAGATTGAAAACTGCTCTACGCCTACAACGCTTGCTGTTTTTGAAAACTTGCAAGCCCACCTCAAGCCATCTTTCTTTGACCAAAGCTCAAAAAAGACAAACAATCCCCATGAGGTCTAAGATAAAAGTAAATAATTTTGGTTTTTGAGTTATATGGCTTTTGAGCAAAATATTTCTTTAACATATTTTAAAAATGTCCTGGAACTAGAAAACCATTTATCTTAGACATACTGCATCCTGATAATTTGCCAAAACTATGTTCATACTGCTTATAACAACTTAGACTTGAAGGCCATCCCATTCTGCAGTAATACCATTGGTTTTCAACGTTCAGCATTTTTTTTTTGTTAATTGAGAAATCTTTCTAAAAATTTCATCAAACTTTATCTTTCAAATTAATTGAATCTCCATTCCAACGACGTAAGTTCATTTATGTTTGGTAAGTGAAGATTTTTTAAACCTTTGCCTTTCACGAGTGGGACCTCTAGCGCACATGTCATTAGAGGTACGTATGCAATTTCTAGTACCATTAAAGTTTCTATGCAATGCTTGTGTTCCATTAAAAAAATAAAGATTTGTTCGAGAGTAAAAGAAAACAATTTTCTATACCTATTTGCGGGTCCTCCGCCGAAAATTGGGACAGAAGATTGCGAAGAAAATGATAAATATACAGATTAAAGACTAATTGAATTATAACAATGTAATTATGAAAATAAATTATGCATAGATAAGCTGTTTTTACGGAAAGATTATGCTGAAAGATGATTTTGACATGGAGATTTATACGAGAAAATCCACTTGAGATCGTTTTAGGTAATTATTCTTGGAATGAAGCTCCTGATAGTGCACCCGAGTATAAAAGAGAGTATAAACTAAGAAGAGGAGAATGCATTGCTCTTTATAAATGATTTGCAATATATAAAACTTCACTTTAACTTGTCAACAAATACTTTTTGTTCGTTAAGCAGGCTCGCCACTCATCTGCGTTGCTCATCAGAAACCCTCTCTATTGCAGCTACTATGAAGACGGATTGGTTAACGAGTTTTAGCAATATTAAGGCAACCTACCCCCTCCCCCCTCCTCTCGTGATGGTCTGTTGCCTACGGATTGGTTAACGAGTTTTAGCAATATTAAGGCAACCTACCCCCTCCCCCCTCCTCTCGTGATGGTCTGTTGCCTTATTATGGCGCGGGGGTGACTCTGGGTGTCAAACTGCGAACACAGTGGAAGAGTCCTCCAGCAGGCTTTCCCAAGACGAGAAGGAGTAGGACGTTTCCAGCTCGCCGGTGCCCAGCTAAGAGTAGGCCATGCCAGATGCCCCTCCAGACGGTGATTGAGTCGCTAGGTGATTCCCTGATCCATATAGGTCAGTGATTGCCTGTGGTGAAAACTTGGCAGGCCCTAACAAGGCTGCTAAGTTTGGGATTTTATTACTTGTACAGCATGAAATAGGGAAAAAGCCCTGCACACTGGATCACACCTGGCGTCGGATGTCATCAAGACCAGTGTCATGTTGCAAGGAAATGGGGTTCGGACCAAAAGGACACGTCAACCACTCCATGGAGATTGTCTCATGCTCTGCACCTGCAACGCCAGGACAGACTCCACCAACCCTGATCTTTACGCCCTTCTCGAAGCTGCAGGGCCATTGACGTAATCGCCTTGCAGGAAACAAAGTCTGGGAGGCGGACGTGGGAGAGCTGAGTGATGGCACGCTCATTCATTCCGGAATGAGAAAGTTCCATCACGGAACGTTGGAGGCACTGGATTTGTCGCACATCCTCCGTTGTCCATTTCGTCGATTCGCATGAGATCCCATTACCTAACCTGGCTATCCTTTTCGGATCAGGATTCCGGAATTTAGAATGGCACGTGTAGGGCTGTTATCATGACTTCTTCATGACAACTCCATTTTCACGAAGAAAGAACACCGGTGGACATGGAATTCACCCAACAGTACGACTAATACGGAGATCACGTTACCAACCGAAAGTGGTGCTTGCGAGACATCTCAGTGGTACCATCCTTCAGCAGTGATTCAGAACACTGCTTCCTTCGAGCAAAAGTGCGATTCAGCCAAAAGCTGGAAAAGAAGATCTATGACTGTGCTGGAGGAAGAAGAGAAGTAATATATAACAGCTCTAGATTGAAGGAGCTCCTGATCAGTTGTGATTGGCCCATCGAGGAGGACCCAACAAAGGACTACGATCTGCTTCAGTGGGAGATCCTGTGGTGGAAGTGCCTCAATGCCTAGAACAAGGAGCTTGCATTTTGAAAGCCACCAAGGATTAGCTTAGAAACGGAGAGCACTAAAGTTTGATTCGAGTGCATCACATCTCGAGCGACTGGTAGCCAATACCAATTGCAGAACAGCTTTGCAAGAAGATCTTCGAAAG